CTACATATTTGGTATAGGGCTATTGGCTGGGTCCGCAAACTCTATTATAGAGAAAATGATGTTTCAGAGTAGTGGTATCGGTATCGACGGCACGACCCATTTCTTCCAGAAACCGTGGTACATGAGCTTGGTCATGTTTGTTGCCATGCTCCTAGCGCTGCCCATGTACTATTGTCTACGCCAGAAAAATGATAAGAGACCTTCCAGCACTCTGCCTGAAAGTGGATCCTCCAATATCGGTCTCCGTATGTGTTTCACGGTATGCATCCCTTCGATATTCGATCTACTAGGATCCTCCCTACAAGCTATCGGTCTGGTCTACACCCCTGTCTCCGTATACCAAATGCTCAAGGGCAGTATACTTCTCTTCTCTGCGCTATTCTCGGTGCTTTTCCTCGGGCGTAAGATGTATCGTCATCATTGGGTGGGAGTCTTCCTCTGCTTAACTGCTCTCGTCTTGGTCGGAGTGTCCTCCCTCTCTTCGCGTGAGCAGCAGACCCAAGTCGTGAGCCTGCCGTTGATGCTTCTCGGTATCTTCATCATAATAGCAGGACAAGTTGTGTGTGCTGCACAGTACGTCCTGGAGGAGTTCCTTCTCAAGCCCCCGAACGATGTAGCCCCAATGGCTTTAGTAGGGCTAGAGGGCTTCTGGGGAACACTTCTCATGTGCCTAGTCTTCGTGCCGGCACTACAGCATCTCCCAGGATCTGACGTAGGCAATGTTATGGAGAACACAGAGGACTCTTTCGTGATGCTGTCCAACTCCCCGACGTTGCTTATCTGTACACTGGGTTTCATCGTCTCGATTCTCGTCTTCAACATATGCGGCGTCATGGTTACCGCAGAGGCTTCGGCTATGCATCATACCTTCCTGGATGCTTCAAGGACCATCGTCATCTGGTTGGTATCAGTGCTCATGTAGTTCGAACTCCTCCTGCTTAGTTCTTATTCCGTCTGGTTTGTAGGTACTATGCAGCCCCTGGGAATGGATTGGTGAGCCCCTCACTAAGTACTCCTGGGTTCAAGCTGTCGG